GATAGCCCTCGTGTAGCTTTGCGCGAAATTAAAAAACAAACTAGTGTTACACTGTCATTCCAATGTTTAACATTATGCAGTAATGACTTAATGGTTCAAATGATAATTTTGATTGATCTTACTTTTTGTAAAAAAACGAAAATGTTTAAACAATTTTAATAACGTTTTAAACATGAATTGTGGGTATCAAAGTGTTGTTTATTTTTTTGCAGCAACAACTAGTAGACCTAATCCATATGTGTGTGGCATCAAAGGTACGAAACGTAGAGCAGGAGCACGTGTAGTTGGCGGTTTAGACTCGTCACCAGGGGAATGGTGCTGGCAGGTAGGACTATGACCTCACAAAGTTTATTCAGTTCCTTGCTAATTACTCTTTCTTTTAATACTTTGAGTTCATGTGATGATCATCACTTTTTATTTCCCACAGGTGGCGCTGATTAATTCCCAAAACCAGTATTTGTGTGGTGGAGCTTTGATTGGTACGCAGTGGGTTCTAACAGCAGCTCATTGTATCAGCAAGTAAGTTTTGTCTGTAGGTACAGGGAGATTATAATACCTTAAATCTGTTTTTATCACATTTGTTTCCTTATATCGTTGCAATGCCTGAGAACATAATGGATGGGGTTACAATAGTGATAGATAATTTATTTCAAATCCACCGAGAAAAATGTGTCCAATGTATTATTTTGGTTGCTTTGAGCCTAGTTGGACTTATTATTATTATTATATACTTATTATATCTTGGATATATTATATCAACCACACTACATCTGCCATATCCAGTACCAACGAGGCATTTCGCCTAATACCAAAACTCATCAGGCCGGCCGAGTTACGACAGACTTAATAATGGTTTCCCTGAATGACTGGTATGATGTTAACCAGTTTAAACAAATGATCTGCAATTATAAATTTTTATTTATGTCATTTAATTTAATTACAGAAATAATTAATTAGCGTCATTTATGTTCTTCCAATCTTAACATTGAATTTAGTTATTATTTCAATTAATATACTATCGTGTACAATGCCAGGGATCATCTTGCCGGCTGGGATACAACAAACATGGTATTGGTCTAGGATTAGTCTTTGTCAAATTGTTACGACAACGAAAGTCACGTGACGCTGCTAGCGCATGCGTGACTAAGTTTCTCGAATTTTTAGGGAAGCTCGGGTGTGATCGAGAGACGCCTCTTTGTTAGTATATAAGCCTGGCAGTGAAAGCCTGCGGGATTGAATGTATAGTTAAGCGAACAGTAGTTAGGGTTTTTCGAAAAATAATAAAGTGTACATTTTGTACTCGTCGAGAGCGAAATTATCAAGATTGTGAATTGTTAAGTTTAAAGTGACGAGAAACGTACTGACTGGAATTACTGTGTACTAAAAGTTTGTATCAAGGACGAATAAACTGGTTTAATCAAGAAAGGACAAGAAGAGAGGCTACAGCAGTGGTTGGAGGAGAAAGAAAATAAACAAGAAGAGAGACTACAGCAGTGGCAAGAAAACCAGCACCAGTGGCAACTGGAACAAGAAAGGAAACAGGAAGAAAGTCTCCAACAACTGCAGGAAAGTCGGTAACAGTAGCAAGAAGAACATGGAGAGAGAGAGAACAACATCAGCATGCAGTACAAAGATTAGTAAATTTCAAAGTGAATTAGATACATTAAAGGACGATTTATTGTCTTTTACACAAGAAGGATATATTAGTCATGGACCTATTCAGTCCTGCCAGAAATCACATTCCAGACATGAGTGTCAGCAATAGTGGTGATCTAGTACAAAGGAAGACACAGGAATTCGATGAGAAGGCACCATGGGAAGCACATAGAGCACAATTTGAGCTTCTGGCAGGAATGAATGGATGGACAGAGGAGCAGAGAGCAGTATATCTGGCAATGAGCTTGAAGGGACATCCACTGGAAATACTTGGACAGTTGTCAGCAGACGACAGGCAC